CATTTCAACACTGACTGGAGTTACACATGTGAGAGTGCATACGACAGCGTGGTTGTAATGGTCATTCTGGGCAAGGATGCAGGTGGAGGGTGCCTGTGTGAATGTGTAGACACACACATGTGCGATGCTCTGCTCCTGAGAAACTGTAGCACAATAGTCTCTGTTATAACATTTCCCATAGTGAATTACAGTTTTCAATGTGTCTCAAATATTTCAGAAAAAAATGTAATTAAGTATAATATGGGCCAGGTCTCGGAAACATTAATAAAAAGTATTTTTCTTAGGACAACAAGAACATAAACAACTTTAACACTTACATCCAATATTTTCTTTAATTATTATGGTTACAAAAACCAAGCCGGTCTGCTAAACAAAGCAGACTCACCACATAAGCTGGTTTCATTGCCATTCGTATCTCCACCTGCTCTCCAAATAAGACAAGTAGCTCAAACTGATCAGAGAAGCCACATGTTTGGACCAGCTGAGGCTTTGTGGAGTCCTGACTGGACAGCCAAACCACTTATATACAGGTATCATAACAACAAACCCATTTACTATTAAATGGTTTTGAAAAAACACACACAGAAAATTGTTAAACCAAAGTGATAAAATGTAAACAGTGGGGAACAGTTAGAGATATCAAAGTTTTTTGTCCTGCTTTTGCAATTTTTCCACAACTTAAAAACCACTTTTAAATAAACAGTTAAAGAAGAATATATTACTTTTTTCCCAGTTTCAGGCAACTTTTTAAGCTAAAGATAAATCTGTGTTATGGTGTTCTCACCTTTGTAATCTGTAGATCTCCGATGTTTAATTTTAGAGCTCCGATTGCTGTTTTACACAGGATCACTGCCTCATCACTACTTTTCACCTGAAGACATCAAAAAACATGAAACCTCAGAAATGTTGGCAGCCTACCTACAAAGTAAACCATTACCTATGTGCTGAATTGATCATCATAATGGCAGACACATGGTTTCTAGAAGTATAGACAAAAAACCCCCCAGCACAACCAGGTGTGGTGGTGCACACCTACAATCCCAGCATTTGGGAGCATGAGGCAGGAAGACTGCCACAAGTTAAAGGCCAGTTTGTTCACAGTGAGTTCAAGGTCACCCTGAACTACACAGTGAGACTCTGTTTCAAACAAACAAACAAACAACAAAAAAGCAAAAAAAAAAAAAGTGCGGACAAAAACTGTAAGCCATACATTCCAAAAGATGTTATTCAAACTTTATACTCACCTTCTCACGAGTCTTTTCCAGAAAAGTAAGGGCCACACTGGGATCTAAAGAGAAAAAACAAAATCAGAAGAACCCCAACAGCTGGTTTCCACCAGCCAAGGGTTAGCTTATAAGGTATAATAAAATTCTATCAAATTATATTTTGATTAAGTTCTATTTCAAGAGCATTTTAACTACCACTTAGAACTGCTCCATTATAAAACAATGTGAGGCTTACCAGTCATCTGTCTAACCACATGAAGAATTATTTCTACCAGAGACAAAGGATTCACCCTGCAATAAAAACCATAAGCTTTTGAATGTCAAAGAATGTCAATACACTTATTTTCAAAGTAAAAACTGACAAAAGGGTTTTACCTGTGTTCAAACTCACTGATGAAGTTTTCATAAAGCTGTAGAACCAAAATATGGAGAGTAAGTATAGGATTTTGCAAAATTAGACTTCACTATTTTCAGTTGAAGAAGTTTCATGAATACTGTCAAGTTAGGAGTTTGCCCATCACATTGTAAGCACTGCATTAACATTGGCTCAATCAGAGGAGGCCCACAATAGGGCTTATTTATGTTCACAACCATGATCACTGATGAATTAATACAGAAAGCCAGGGCTTCTTTCTAGTTCTGGGAAATTAGAACTTGGACTTGCAAGAATGTCCTGAAAAGCGATTCCTGTATTATTTCTCCAAGATACCCCAAGTACCACAGACCTTCAATTTGAAATGCTCACTTCTTCAATTTTAGAAGGTGACAGGCTAATTATATCCTTTCACTGAAGTTTTTAGTACACAGTTGAGCACTTCCTCAGACTCCACGGCCAAGTACACAGAATGCGTGATGTGAACATTGAACCTTCAAGAAGTTTCTAGGGCAGGGAAGATTGTCTGTGAACAAATTGATGAGCAATACTGTGTCTTTAAGAACAAGAGAAAGAAGGCATACCAGTAGGTGAGCCAAAGGGAGGAATTTTAAAGGTTATTTCCAAAGTAGTGACAACTGGGTTTCAAGAAACGAAGAGCAGTTAGAGGGGTCCATCTGCTGTGGGAGAGGGGACAGATGAAAGACTTCAGAAGAAACAACTTGCACTGAGTCATAATGCATGTATTAATCTCTGATTGATTCAAAATCAGAAAAAGGCGGCAAAGAGTAAGATGTCAGGAAAGACTTCAAAGAGAAGGCTTCCTGTGAACATGTCAGGGGATCTGCTTAAGGCTGGGAAAGAGTGTGAATTTTTCTCTGTTAACAAAATTCTAAAAATGATCTATTCCAAAGTCACTTAATATTATCAAATCTCTATTCCACCACCCTCAGACAAAGTACAAAAGGTGCTCTGTCTTCTATACTACTCAGGACAGAGTTGCCTGGGAAGCAAAATCAGTGTGGATAAGGGAGTGGAGTAAGGACTGAAGGGAGTTACCTAAAGGTCCCCATAGCAATCCTCTGTACCAGTAGTCGTGAACCTATGGTATGTGTGCCACAGCAGGCTGTTTGTATCACTGAAAGCTCTAAAGGGCTCGCCATTACTGCTCTATACCATATTGCACTTCATGATTGACTTAACTTTTAATGTATGAAAAAGTTTTCCAGAAGAATAGAAAACAAAGCCAAATAAATTTGTGAACAAAAAGATATTCAGGCATGTTTTTTAGGCTAGTTTTTTTTTTTTCCTTTTGGAGACAAGGTCTTACTATAGTGTCCAGGTTGACTTAAAACTCATAATCATTTTGCCTCAACCTTGTGAGTAGCTGAGATTACAGGCACACATCACTTTGCCTGGCATCTTTTCTGTTTTGGGAATGCAGAGAATTTAACTCAGGGCCGGCACATACACTATGCACATGCTTCACCAATAATAGTCTAGAATTTTGGAAACCAGAATTTCTGTATTTGAATGGTCTTCTTGTGACTTACCGACTATAACCTGTGGTAAGCTACTTAACCTTTAATGTCTGCTTCTGCATTAAAAAAAAAAAAAAAAAAAAAAAAGTAGTACTTGTCTCCCAATATTGCTAGGAAGAGCAAATACATAAAAGTGCTTACATCAGTCTCTCACACAAAGTTGACTAATGAATCAGTGTGGCTTATTATTACTATCATAAAGTCCATCTATTATTTAAAAAAAATCCTTGAGCATATGATATAATCTGACCTAGCATGACAAATTATTTACCTTAATGAGACCATCTCCTTGGGCAAAGCATGGATCCTGTACAAAATCAAGGACCTGAAGTGTCAGCTGATGCCATAACCTGAAAAACAAAGGCCTTTCAGATCTACAAATTAATATGCAGTTATAAACACCTTCAATCTTGACGGTCCCAACAAACAACAAATTCCTACCAGTATCTACTGTTTAGAAAGCTACAACAGATGCCAATAAACCTGAGTTCTTTTCCTGGGCTTGCTATTATGTCCCTTGAGCTCATTTATCCTCTCTATGCCTCAGTTTTCTCATACAGCATATAAAATGGAGAACATCTTGCTGACTGCTTCAAAGGGTTATTGTAAGGTGTGACTGGAAACAAGAATATTGGAATTATATAGCTCTATTGAAATCCAGGCTCTCCTTATTAGCTGAGTATCTCAGGGAAGCCAAGGAAACAGCTTGTTTCCTCACCGGTAAATGGGATAAAGGAAGGATGAAATAAACTAATATACAAAACCTCTAGCACCCTCCACCCTCAAAAAACCCAAGGGCAAATATTTAATAATGCAGTTAAGATGCTTTGAAAAATACAAAGTGCGCCTCAAGTATTTGTCAAACATTAAAAATTTTCTTTCAACAACTACTAACAGTTGAAGACGGCTGAACATCATTAAAACCAATGAAAGCCTGAATGAAAAGTTCTACGCTAAATGCCCCATCGTTAACAAGGTTAACCACAGGAAGTCTGTTCTTTGGTGGGGCAGCTCTAGCCCAAATGTTATCAAATTATAACTGTTCAAAGTTCACCTTGAATATAATAAATACAAACTCTGAGATCTCTCTAGGGCCAGGAAGTCCAATATGAAATGCAACAGAAATTAGGTAGTGTGTGTGGGCGGCAGTGGTTACACCCTGTGCAAACAGTTTCACAATCAACGGGAAACTTGCACTGGCCTCTGGTTTCTAGGCCATACTCCGTGAGAAAGATAATTGGAAATGCAGTCACATTATGCCTTGGGTACCAGGGCCTGTCTTCTCAGAAGGTGGCAACCTAGTTCCAAAGTGTGATTTTGAATTAAGAGCTAAAATCAATCACAGACCATCTCGTATCCTTTTAATAAGACCAGAAGACAGTAGAGTCCATGCGTCTCAGGCACAGTTCCTGGGGTAGGAAAAGTGCCCCCAAATCCCTGGCTACAACAGGCTTCTTAGCCCCCACGGGCTGTCATCCTTTTTCCGCAGCTTTGAGCCTGAGGATGGCTCAGCCCCTCCTGCCTAGCCGACTCCTCCCGGCATGTCTCTGCCTCCTCAATCCTCCCAGACTCGGGTTCACGCGCCCCCCCCCCCCATGTCGGTCCTTCGGTTTGGCGCTCACTTCTTTGTGTAGAGTTCCTCCAAACGGTGCCACACGGAAGCTTGCCCGGGCCCAGAGCTCTGACTCTGCTGTAAGAAGCCCGGGACATCCTTCATGACGGCAAGAAAGTGTGATCCAAAACACAAGAAAAACGTCAGCGTCGCAGAGATGGCGGCCGGAAGTGCTCACTCACTTCCGTCGCTGCAGGGCGCTAGGCATGCCGGGAATCCCGTGTTCGGCCTCCGCACTACGCCAGTCGTCTTGGGAACTGCGCTCCTCGGCAACAAGGGCGAAATTATCTCCCGGGTTTGTAGCCAGCTTCCGGTGCAGTTGGCCGGGGGCGGGGCGCTTCGGCCATTACGCTCCTGGACGCGCGTGCGCGGCGGAGTATCATGGCGCTGTGGGGCCGGTGGCCCCTGTCTGCTCCACGTCTGTGGGCTCTGGGAGGTGAGCGGGCAGGGCCCAACCGTGGAAGGCCAGAGAAGGCTGGGGCCCTGCAGCTTGAGCTATTTTCAGTATGTGAAAGGGATGACAGCGGCTGGTCGTGGGCCCCTGGTTTCTTCTTGTCTTGGAGCTGCTCCCATTATAGCGCAGTCCTTGTGCTGGGCTCCGGCAGTCTCGTTGGGACATGTCGTAGTTTATTTTACCATACTCATGTTGAAATGGTTTCTGATCTCTAGTTTTCACAAATAACGGTGTAACCACAGCCCTGATTTTTGGATAACTCGCTTTTTGCATACATTTCTGGATCTGAGGTAAAAGATCAACGCCTTAGTTGACATTCATAAAGGTTGTGCTACCACTCGCAGGTGGATACATCCTTCTGTACGGTAGTTATACCTAACCCCTGTGCTGAGGTTCAAACCCAGGGCCCTCTTTATGCTAGGCGAGCACTCTACTTCTGAGCGACACTCCCAGTCTAGAGTCCTTACCTAGGAACTCAGAGTGCAGGTGGGAAGAATCGTAGGTTCCACAGTTGGTGGGGAAAAAACCGTAACTTGAACGTTTAAGTAAGTAGTGGTACATTGTTGAAGAGTGTAATAAAAAAGATGTTCATCCAAGATACCTTCTTTCAGCTTATACTCTGTACCAGCCCTGTTTGGGTGCTGGGGTTTGAGCAGTGACCAGGACACTTGTTTCCATGCAGACAGTTCTCATTAATTATCTGAAGGATAATTAATGGCTGGCTCTCATTAATCCCACGCTGTTACTCCTAACACTGGAGCTGAGGGGATGCCTGGGAGTAGTGGGCAGTCTAGGTTTACACAGTTTGGAATTTGTTACCCTTAATTGTAGAGTTTGGGGCTGTTGTGCGGATACATCCTTTGTGTGTCTTTGAACAGTGTTTCTCTGGACCAGTGTCTCTCAGGCAACATTCATACCTGTTTCAGGGTCTTCTGCTTGCAGGAACTTTCATACCATGTAATACATACTTTAAGTCATCTTAAATGTGTTACACATTGGTAAAACTGTGTTTTTCAGTGACTGATAACCATTTTACTTAAATAGATGAATAAAAACTACACTTCCAGTATCCTGTGTAATAACTAACAATTGGTTGTTCAACAGTGCTAATAACTGTTCTTTTGTTTCTTATGCATTTCTTATAATGCTTTGCACCTAGAACTAAAAATGTTTGGGTGAGAGTTTTGTGTGAAAAAATGTTCTTAAGGCTATGTGAATGGGAGCATTTATTAGATAGAAGAATGCTTTTAGAGTTGTGGTTTTCCTTTTTTCATTCTTGACTGACTAGTTTTCATTAAAAATCCTCTTTGGGGATTTCATCAACTTGTGCTCAGAAGAAGGGGTGTGGCTTTGTATGCTACACCTTGGGTGTGGCAGAGCCTTCTCAGAACCTATGGTCATTTCTAAGTATTTGTGGAGAGGAAGTGCTCTTATTTGCTATATGTGTTTCCTGTACTTGATAGTGAGAGGTTTTGGGCACAAGTTCTTCAAAAAAAAAGACTGTAAAAGTTAAGGTTGCAGATGTAGTTCAGCAGTAGAATACATGCTTCCACCCCCAACACCACAAAGCCACATCAGGGTATTTCAGAGATTTGAGTTTCCTTTTGTGCTTTCAGCCCTGCATGTTGTTATCATGGGACACATCTTTTAGAGATTAATTCTTTGTTGGGAGAAGTGACTACACATAGGGATGCCTAGGGACTTCCTGCTGGTCTGTGGACAGCAAACAAATCCCTGAGTCATACTAGCACTGACTCAGAATGGATGAAGCAGCTGTGTACAGTAGCTGCAAAGTGGGAAAGGATGACAGGAAGGAGCAGGGAGCCAACATGACTGCCTTTCAGATAAAGGCCAGTGACTTCCTGTGGAATTTAGCAAGGATATGGCATTTGATCCTGGCCTTGACCCTGGGAGATTGGGACATTCTGAGGCAGGGAAAGGACTTTTTTTTTGGTACCAGGGATTGAACTCAACACTGCGTGCTTGCAAGGCAGAAGCTTATACTGCTGAGCTAAATCCCCACTCCAGGGAAAGAACTTTTTAGGCAGAGTATACTGAATGGGGGAAAGAGTTGTTTGGGAACACTAAAGTTTAGGGCATAGAGAAGAGATGGGAAAATCTTTTCTTTGGAAGAAACAAGGGGTTCACAACAGGGAATAATGGGGTTAAAGATATCACTGGGATAGGATGTGCTGTAATAAGACAATGGAATGTTGTGAGGAACAGAGAGCTTTGGGGGAATCCGTGGCAGCAGGATGTAAAGTAGATATTTCAAGAGATTTTGCAGTGTTGGTTTTGTAAGGAGGAAAAGAAAAGAGCAACCACTCTATTAAGATTGGAAACCTCCTAGAAGACAGGTTCTGAGTTGTCCTGATGAATCTAAAGATGTGCTTTTAGTATATTTATTTCTGACAAAAGAAATATTCTTAATTGCCTGGCCTGCGTCCCCACCTATACCCTGAGACAGCACTTTCCTATGTAGTTCAAACTGGCCTTGAATTTACTATGCAGTCCAGGCTGGCCTCAAACACAGCAATCCTCCTGCCTCAGCCTCTTGAGTGCTAAGACTATAGGCATGTGCCATCACACCTGGTTTAGTTCCCTCTTTTATGTCTATGTTAGTTTTAGAGTAATCCTTTACATGGGTAGTTGTCAGATTGTTGAATGATTTTTCCCACGTGGAAATAGGGATTCTACTGAAGAGGGTCATCAGGAGGGTCACCTGATGGAAGAATGGGCCTAGGGATTGTATTTTCTGGGGATTCTTGGGGATGAGAAAGGCACCAGAGCCGGTGGGTTCAACTGCCCTGAACTCAGGGCAAGTCACCAGGGTGATGGAGACATGTGTAGCTTGGTTAGATGTCAAGAAGGTCCTAAAAGGTGAGACTATGGGTCAGGAGGCCTTGAAGGGCCACAGGAAGCTGCAATGCTTTATGCTTCTCTGGCTGTGGCCTTCAGAGGGATGTTTTCAGGTGCTCCTGTAGATTGATGTTCTGTATTACTTTTGTTTTCTTCCTCTTGCTCCCCCAGCTTGTGACTTGGGTTTTGTTTTGTCTGTGTGTTTTGTATTCCTTTCCTGTAAATGACTATATCATACTCCTAATCTTGGCTCCCAGCTTCTGAAGGAAGCTGCCCGGGCCTTCCTCATTGTATAATGTTGATAGTTGAGTAATATGTGCTTCAAATCAGTTACAGACATTGAAGATGTGCTGTTTGTAGCAATTTGACCCCTAGCTGTTAGGGAAAGAGTGTTTCTGAAGTGGTTTCTAGAGCCCAGCTTTTATCCCACCAAGGTTTAGTGTAAAGTCTGAGAATTTTAATTTTCTTCAAATGTCACTGAATATTTATGTACATCCCATATATATATTAGGGCATGGAGTTCTGTTGAAAATGTTCCCAGATTCTCCTCAAAGGGATGCTCAGGATGCTGGCTTAGGCATTTGGTCTACAGCACTGACCTTTGATGACCTTTGTGAAGTCCTACTTTCCTAACTTGCATAGTGCCCAATAACCAGAATTTTTTGCCCCAGGTAAGTCTTGATTTCTAATTCAAGGCTGCCTTCTGTTTTAGCCAGTAGTTATCATGATGAGAAAAGTGATTACTGTGGGAGACAAAAATGCATTCCTTTTCTCAATGGTGGGGAGGGTTCTTGCCAGCACAAGACTGACTGTCATCTGCTGGCTTTCTTTTCTGCGCTTGCTGTCAGTATTGCAGGTGGAAGAAGGTGCTTATCTCTTTCTGTGAGTGCTTCAGGCATTTTTGGAAGCAGAGGCAACAGTGAGAAGAAGTTTTCCCTGCAGGATGTAGCTGAGCTGATTCGGACCAGAGTCTGCCAGAGAGTGGTGATCATGGTGGGCGCCGGGATTAGCACACCCAGTGGCATTCCGGACTTCAGGTACCTCTGTGGTCCCCAGCCATCACCACTTACCTTCCCTCTTAGGAAGGGCTCAGTCTCTTTTCTCTCTTTCCAGATCTCCAGGGAGTGGTCTATACAGCAACCTCCTGCAGTACAACATCCCGTACCCTGAGGCCATTTTTGAACTTGAATTTTTCTTTCACAACCCAAAGCCTTTTTTCACTTTGGCCAAACAACTGTATCCTGGGAACTATCGGCCCAATATTACTCATTACTTCTTCCGGCTGCTCCATGACAAGGGCCTGCTTCTGCGGCTCTACACTCAGAACATCGATGGGCTTGAGAGAGGTGAGCCCTTTGTCCCCATTGTATGTTCTGTGTTTCAGGTAGGGCTGGGCCTACTGCTTACACCTCATGCTTGGGGCCACTTTGACTCAACATTTGTCTCCTCTGAGTGTTCAAGTCTACTTTTGGTCCTCTTTGTGGGTTTTTTTTCCTGCAAACTTGCTGTGTAATGGTTTTAGGGCAGAACTGTTTTGCTGACATGGTATAGTGATGTCTTTTTCTTTTAAGAAATATGTTTAAGGGGCCAGGGATTTAGCTCACTGGTATAAGCACCTGTCTACCAAGTGCAAGGTTGAGAGTGATCCCTGGTACAAAAAAAAAAAAAAAAAAAAAAAAAAAAGAAAGAAAGAAAGAAACAAAGAACTATGTTTTAAAAATTAAAAATAGACAGAAAGAAAGAAATATGTTGACCAGCTGGGTGTGGTGGTGCATGCCTATAATCCCAGCACCAAGGATGCAGGAAGATTGCTGTGTGTTCAAGGCAAACCTGGTCTATATAGAGAGTTCAAGGCCAGTTTAAAACATGTAGTGAGATCCTGTCTTAAAAGCCAGAGAAAGAGAGAGAGAGGGAGAGAGAGAGAATTGGAGCAGATAAAAACAGTGCAAAGAACCCTCATGTCTTCTTGTTCTGTTTTTACTGATACGTAGATAATGCTCATCTGTGTTCTCCTGACCTACCTTCTTCATCCATTGATTGTATTTAAGCAGATCCATTAGTGGGTATCTCAAACATAAAGTCTTGCAAATCCAGCTCTGCTATTCTTACCACACTAAAGAGTCATTGTTTTTCAGTGTTGTATAACAGGCTGAGATTGCCTCTTGGTTGCATCCATATCACATGTTGACTGTAAGCTGCATTCATGATGGTGCTGGCAAGGCTGAGCATCTAGAAAGTATTTACTGGGACCTTACCTAATGTATAGAGGCTTGGACAGGGTTGGGCTGTCAGATTGATTGAACCCTGCCAGTCTACAGAGATGCCATGATCTCAAAGAGCTTGTCTTGGAGCATGTTTCATATGACAAGGAATTCATAACTAAGGACACAAAGGCAGTAGTGGACATTACAAGGGATAGAAAGTAAGGCTGTATAGTGAACCACTTGGCCAAGAGCTTCAGGGCTGTAGTTGGGACAGTGACCAGGGTTTGGGAAGCCATCTGTAGCTTTCTAGAACCAGATAGTAGTGAGATGCTACATTTTGCATTTGTCAACCAAGCAGTGTTTTGGAAAATTATGGTATTTGTACACTCATTTTTACTTGGTGTTGTAGAATAGTATATATGTGTTGCTAAGTATTAGGCATCTGAACTTATATCAAATGGATTTTTGCCCTGAATTTTGAAGGGTTTGTTTTAGTGTGGCTTGGTCCCCACAGAGAGCCTCTGCCCTTGTGTATCATCCTGATAGTTGGAAAACTGTGTATTGGTGACAGCTGGTACTATTGAGGAGCTGAAGTCCCACCCAGGAGGCCTGTTACAGTCAAAAGTCATATCTGGACTTGCATGGTCCCTGAAGGTTGCAATGCTTAGTTTTGGTTTGAATTTCAGTGTCTGGCATCCCTGTTTCAAAGTTGGTCGAAGCTCATGGAACCTTTGCCTCAGCCACCTGCACCGTCTGTCGAAGATCCTTCCCAGAGAAGGACTGGTGGGTGAGTAGTTACCCCACTGAGAGTTCCTCCATTTTGCAATTCTTGGCAGAGGTGAGCTTTGAATGTGGCACTGTGTAAGCATCGTGTTGGAAAGACAACAGAACAGTATTGTGTGATGATAGTTCTCTATGTTTTGGTTAGAAAAGTAGTGATGAGTGAGAGCAAATTTCCCTTTAGACAGTTTCTACTGCTAACCTTCAAAAATTTGATATGTAACATTCCAGGTCTTTATCTGAAAGCACATACTGTGTATGTGTGAACAAATACTTACTGTGATTTTAGGGATGGAATTATAATGAACTTATGATTCTATGATTGCTTCTTCCTGCACAGAGCTTTGAGTATGTCTTCTGCAATTTTGCTCAATTTTATTATTAACTGTAGAGGATCATAGTTTACCAGTCAAATATTATGCAGCATTTTTTGATGGCTTCTTAATGTAATTTTTACTATTTGCCTATTTACACCAAAGATTGCAGTTTTTAAAATTTTTTTTTTTTTTTTACATTTTTTTTTTTCTTTTTCTCTTTTTATCGGTACTGGGGATCGAACTCATGACCGTCTGCTTGCAAGGCAGGTGCTTATGCCGCTGAGCTAAATCCCCAGCCCCAGTTTTTTAAATTTTTGCATAAAATTTATCTGTATTACCTAGAAAAGTTCAAGAAATAAGAATTTAAAGAGAAGAAAATTTATCATGCTCCCTTATTATGGGCATTCCAAGAATGGGACAGTAGGCATTGAAGGGGACTAATAAGAGCAGGATGACAAGATTAGGGACCACCATGGCGGTGGTAAAGTTAGTGAGTGGAACAGCACTACTCCTCTTGCCCTGTTCTTGATAGCATGAGAGAGGAGAGACAGGACCCCAGTCGCCTTGAGCTCTAGTGGGACAGTGTATGGGAAGTCAGCACTCCCTCTACCCTGCTCCCAGTGGTGCAAGAGAGGAAAGAGAAATAGGACTGGAGCAGCTTTTGTCTGTCTTCACAGTGGCAGCAGGGGAAGTAAGTTGACCAATAACACTACCACTGCCCTTTTCCCAGTGGCATGAGAGAGGAGAAAGATGTGCCAATGGAGTGGAACAGAGGAGGTTGTACAAGGGCCAGGTAGGGCCAACTTTGCATGGGACTGGGAGCAGCTTTGGGCTGTCTTTGAGGGTGCCACAGCAGTTGGGAAAGACCTTCATTATGGTTGTCATTTCTTTTATTAATCTGAGAGATTATTTCTGATCTTATATCCTCTGTAACCTCATTCATCTGGTTTGTTGGTTTATTTGTTTGTTTTCCACTGCTGCTAACAATTTCAGAAAACTCAGGTGGGTGGCTTCTGATTTCCATCTCATTGTCCACTGGGTTTGCCCTGGTTGGGCTGGAGATCAGGGTTGCATTTTGTTTCTGTGTCTTGTTATTTTCTAATTTTTCTTTAATTTTAATTTGCTTTCTCTGTTGATGCTTATAAATTGCTTTTGGTAGGTAGCTTTATCATTAGTATCTAGGCTTCCCTAGAAAATATCTATTCCTCAGACATGTGTTCTAGGAATAGCTGATTCTTGGTCTTCCTGTTTGTCTCAAGATCCTACCTATCCTCCCGCCCCCACAACAAGTCCAGGAGATAATGAAACAGAGTAAAATGGAAGTCACACACCTTAAGTTTCTGAAATGGTATCAACAGAATTAAAGAAACAAATGCATGAGGCTATAGGGTATATCAGATCAGAAATAGTCTCTCAGATAAAAAAAAAAAAGAAATGTCAACATTCATAAAGGAATTGCTCAGCAAATCTAGAGATAGATTAAAAAAAGATGATAATAAGAAAAGGATGGTAACTTTGTGTGATCCATTTAGGAAAGAAATAGAATGCATGAAATGGATTCAAACAGATATCCAGGAAATTAGAAATTCCATTGAAAGCTGGTAAAACCGCTTGAACAAAACTAAAGGTAGACTTTCAGACCTTGAAGTGTTGTGGCTAGCAATCACAAAATGAAAGATCTCTTAAAAATAACTAGGGATCAAGAAATAATTCAACAGCTGCAAGACAATACAAAGAAAAACAATATACGACTGATTAGTGTCTAACTCAAATACACTCAGCCACTGTATCTTTAACAAAGCGGCCAAACATACTAACTGGAAGAAAGATAACCTCTTTAATAAATGATGCTGGAAAAACTGGCTTTCTATTTGCCAAAGACTAAAACTAGACCCGTGTGTATCACCAAGCACTAAGCTGAAGTAAGAATGGATCAGAGATCTAAATATTAAGAGAGAAACACTAAATCTACTGGAAGAGACTATAGGAAGAAATCTTGAAGGCATAGGTGTAGGCAGAGACTTCATGAACAAAACTCAAACTGCATGGGAAGTACTTCAAAGAAGCAATAACTGGGACCTCTCTTTCTCTCTCTCTCTCCCTCTTTTTTTTTTGTAATGGGATCAAACTTATGACCTTGAGCTTCCCAAGCAGGTGCTTGAGCCACTAAGTTAAACCCCCAGGCTCTGGATCTCATCTTATAAAAAAAACTTTATCACATCAAAAGAAGTCACCAACAAAGTAAAAAGACAATGTACAGACTAGAAAAACAAATTTAGCCAACTGTCCTTCAGACAAAGGACTTCTATCTGGAATGCATAAAGAACTGAAAAAAAATGAAGTCCTCCTAATTCAAAGACCTAATCCAAAAATGAGCATTTGAGATGAATACATATTTCTCAAAGAAATACAAATGGCAAATATGTGTGTGAAAAAATGTTTAACATCATTGGTTATTCAAGAAATGCAAATTAAAACAATGCTGAGATTTGATCTTACCCCAGACAGAATGGCTACCATCGAGACATAAACTAATAACAAATGCTGTAGGACTGTGGGGGAAAAGGAACTCTTCTCCATTGTTGATGATAGTGTAGACTGGAACAACCACTGTGGAAAACAGTGTAGAATTTCCTCAAAAAACTAGGATTAGAGGTCCCATTTGACCCAGATATTCTTCTGGGTATTTCCCCAGAAGAATTAAAAACAACATACTGCAGCAATATATGTGCACTAATGTTTATAGAAGCACAGTTTGTAATAGCTAAATCTTGGAAACAACCCAAATGTCCATCAACTGAGGAATGGATAAGAAATATATGGTATTTTTATATAGAGGAATACTACTCTGCTATCAAGGAGGAGAAACTTGAGACTTTTATAGGTAAATGGATACAACTTGTGAGCATACTCATAAGTGAAATGAATCAGACTTGTATGTGTAAACATCATATTGTTTCCCTAGTGTAAGAAACTGAAAGAATAAATCAGATCTAAAATATACAGTAGGTATTGTGAATGGGAAGAAACTGCTCAAAAGGAAAGAGAAACTGGGATGGGGGAAAGAAAAGAAGGAAGGGCAAAGGAAAAGAAAATTATATATATCTATATATATGCACATATATATACACACGATAGTTATACTACTAATTTCTATTATTTACTGAAAAGAAAGGTTTGTGTTTGTGTTGTTTGATCAATTTTTCATGGCTATATCTTGTAATATGAGCAACTAATTTGAAGATAATGCACAATGTATCAGTGTACAATATATCATTATTATTCTGTTTTGAAACTGTAGCATCACTTTCATGGTATTTTTCTCTTTAAAATAAAAAAGACTGATATGTTTCAGTGAAAAGCAGCTGTAACATAAATAACATAAATGACATAAATAACATAGACCATTTGCAGAAAGAATAGTAGAATATTTCCAAACAGGAGAACAGAATCTGACATTCGGATAGGTAAGGTATATAGATCTCCAATTGGCCATTGACCAAAAGAAATCTACACCAAGGCATATAATAATCAAGATCCCAGAAATGGAGCACAAGAACAAAATATTAAAAGCTGTTAGAGAAAAGAAACAGATCATTTTTAAAGGAAAGCTCATCAGAACCACAGCAGACTTCTCAGTAGAAATCCTCAAGTCAAGAAGAGCTTGAAGTGAAAAGTATTTCAAGTCCTAAAAGAAAACAATTTCCAACCCATATTGATGTACCCTGAAAAACTGTCTTTCAAAATTAATGGAGAAATAAGATACTTCTATGGCAAAGAACAACTAAATAAATTCATGACCACCAAACCAACCATATGAAGAGTACTAAAAGATATTCTAGACAGAGATAAAAATGACCACAATTCCATGAACAACCAGGCAGAAACCACCAGTAGGACAAGCAGTTAAAGGGGAAAACCAGGGAACCAACAGTGGGAAAATAACATGACAAAGATAAGCCAATACATATCAGTTATAACCGTCAGTATAAATGGCCAATCAAAAGAAACAAATTGGCAGAATGGATCAAGAAACAAGATCCAACAATATGCTGTATACAAGCAACACATTTAACTTAAAAAGAAACACGTAGACTGAAAGTCAAAGGATGGAAAACAATACTCCATGCAATAGTAACCCAGAAAAAAGTAGAGGTAGCTATTCTGTTTGCAGACAATGTAAATTTCAAACCAAGAATGACTGAAAGAAATGAAGAAGGTCACTTCATACTTGTTAGGGGAAAAATTCAAGAGGAAGAGATAATAAACATAAAATATATGTATCACATGTGGGAGTACCCAACTATATAAGACAAATATTAATGGACATGAAAAATCAAATAAGCAATAACATAATTATAACAGGAGACCTTAACACGCTATTGACTCAAAGGGATGGATCAACTAGATGAAAAAAAAAAAAACCAGCAAGAAAAATCATAACTGAACCAAACTTGTGAACAAATTGATGTTTACATAGTGTTCACCCAACAAAATCAGAATACACATTCTCAGCTGCACACATTATGTTCTTTAAAATAGGCTATATATTAGCCCACAGAACATGCTTAAGTAAATGCAAAGGAATTGAAATTATCCAATGTGTATTATTTGCTCATAGTGCAATAAAATTGTAAATTAATGGCAAAAGAAATTGCAAAGAAATCCATGAAAAATAGAGGTTAAATAA